ATCAATTTTTTATATATTTATATATATTATATATGTATATATGAAAAATATATCAAAAATGCGTGTGTGTACTCAAATGAAAGCTCTTGATGAGTGTAACATCGGGATGAGCTTATATCTTAAAAAATGTCAATAATTAAGAACTGACTTTGCTATCTTGTCAACTAATGATATTTTTGAAGATATAAGCTCATCCCGATGTTACACTCATCAAGAACTTTCATTTGAGTACCCACATGCATTTTGATATATTTTTCATATATATACATATATGTAATATATATAAATATATGAAAAATTGATGGGGGTACTCAAATGAAAGGTCTTGATCAGTGTAACATCAGGGTGAGCTTATATCTTTAAAAACGTCAATAATTCTCAAGATACAAGGTCATTTCTTAATTATGTATCTAGAGATAGAGTATTTTTGAATGCTGTCTAAATATTTATCATAATAAATTAACTATCGGTGAGAATGATATGAAATCTTGAAAAGGCATAAATTCAAGTCAAAACCTTTGCAAGCACACTAAATTTCACTAAAAAAAACCAATTTTATCATATGACTATCCTAGATACAAAATTTTTCTTATTCTCCTAATAATATAAATAAGTTATAATTTATAGAAATAATTATTGCATACTATAGGTAACCCGATTATTTATTAACCATATCCATAGTTTTATTTTACTCCATTGAATTAATTAATTTCTATCTTTGAACATTAATTTCTAAAAACAAAAATTACAATTTTATTTCATCACAGCTATTTATTGATCATTAAAATAAAACTTGAGAAGATAATATGATTTGTTTGTTTACATCAAATTTAAATGATTATTAGTCATCACATCAGAAATCGCATTACATCAATCAAATAAAAGATTAAGAAGAATTATAATGTGTCAATAAAACCATCAGTAATCTCTGACATAAAATCGACTTCCAGGAAGATTATGATCACGTCATATGTAAATTATTAAATTTCGTAATTATAATTATTACATGTTTACTTAACTTACTAAGTGTGAAAATGAAAGCAACAAAACAAATCATCGAAGCACGGTGACCCATCGTCTCAGTTAACAAGTTTAAAGGACATTGCTCTGAACACGAAGTTTTTTATTCGTCAACTCTCCATTCGTCACCTGTTCAAGATCAACCGGGTTGAGTCAGTGATTCTCTGCTCGTTCTTACCTGGAAATAAAAATCGTTTTGTTAGTAATATAATTGTTGAATGATTAATTCACGAGAGAAGAATACTGGCGGGGATTAATATACAAGTATTGTTTATTTACATTAATTTTACGATTACCATCGCTTGGAAATGGAAAATATAATGAAGATTCTAATGAATCATGACCTGACAATATTTTCCTCCTCTGCTGCTACAGAATATATAAATTTGCAGAGGCTGAATCCTTTTCATATACTTAACTATTCTTCTTTCATTCTGATCTTGCCAGAGAAAGCGCTCCAACAGGATGGCCGCTTTTACTGAAACTGTAAGTTTAATTTCATTATTATAATATTAATTAAAACTAGCAACCTTGCAGTCACTACGTCACTGCCGTGGCTTGTGAACTATAAATAAATAAAATTTTGCTTTATTAAATAATGGCTTTTGTTAAATTGCACTGTACTTTCTTAACTATTGACATTATTAAAGAT